ATCTACTGTAAAATTGGTGTATCCCAACGAGACACATAGCTGGTGGCACTTGTCAAGGGTGCAACCTTCCAGCTTACGGCAATCCGCTGCAAGATGTGAAAAGTAATGGTCAAAGTCAACTCATGCCGACGCCATGTAAAATGACTAGAGCAAAGTACTATTAGTAAAAGTACGTACATATAAGTCCGTGTGTCCTTGAACGAAGTAGAGCGACAGGACCAATGCTATAATCGTAGTGACCACCACAAAGAGAGGCATTACTGCATCATTGGTTTTGAGAAGAGCCATCAGATGAGAGTCCTTGTTCTAAATCTAACGATACGATTTCTCTTATCTTATGGCTTGGTTTGGATGTGATGCTTCCTTTTCCAAGCTTATATAGAGGTAGATGGATGAAGCAAATGTGGTTAATAATTAATTAGTGATGTCATGCTTCTCTCTCTGTTTAGGAGATATCATTAATTGGCCGCTATTAAATTAATGTCTTACAACATTGCTTTACTTATTGGCAACTAACTATTGTGTGATATTTGTGTGTATTAAGCGGACTAGCTTATGTACAAGTAAATGGATGAAGCAAATGTGGCTAATAATTAATTAGTGCTGTCATGCTTCCTTCTCTGTTCAGGAGATATCATTAGTTGGCCGCTATGAAATTGTTGCCTTACAACACTGCTTTACGTTTTGGCAACTAATTAACTATTGTGTGTATTATGCCGACTAGCTTATGTAGAGGTAAATGGATGAAGCAAATGTGGCTAATAATTAATTAGTGTTGTCATGCTTCTCTCTCTCTCTGTTCAGGAGATATCTTTAATTGGCTGTTATTAATTTGATGCCTTACAACACTGCTTTACGTATTGGCAACTAATTAATTTTTGTGTGATATTTGTGAATATTAAGCTGACTAGCATATGTAGATGTAGATGGATGAAGCAAATGTGGCTAATGGCCCCGTTCGGATGGTGCAAAAATTGAACTGTTTATGGTTGAAAGTTACTATTCATCATTGATTTCCTCTCACAAATTCCTCCAGATTCCTTCAAACGAACGGGGCCAATAATTAATTAGTGATGTCATGCTTCTCTCTCAGTTTAGGAGATATCTTTAATTGGCCGCTATTAATTTGATGCCTTACAACACTACTTTACATATTGGCAACTAATTAACTACTGTGTGATATTTGTGTGTATTAAGCCGACTATTCATATTCCTTCATTTCATATTACACACCATTGTAGCATTCAAATTTTTCTATAACAATATTTGTTATTCACACATTCTAAAACACTCCACCCTTCATCAATGTAGTCACATGGCTTCTTTAATTTGAAAAGAGAAACATGATGATCTTATCTTATTATTACTAATAATAATTAGAGGCTCAACCGAGCCTCCAAGTTAATTATCACTAGACATGTTAGGAAAAAAAGATAAATCTTATAATTTTTCGTTAAGCAGAAACATCTCGCCTTTAATTTGGTGGACCAATCATCATCGGCAACAAGAGCCATTGGATCCATTTTGTTTTATAAAAAAATATCCGTCTTTGGCATTATGAAAAATACATTAAGTAACCCATGATTTTGCATTTAAATTACCCACATCTTCCACTATGAAAGCTAATTCAGATAACCCCTAAATTTGTGTCTAAATTATAAACTTTTGCTATTATGAAAGATAATAGCAAGTGAGGAACAAGAATGAGCAAGAGATGGGAAGAAAGGGGTCTGTAGCACCCCTAAAAACACTCAGGCTCGCGCTCCCATCAGTCAGATCTGAGCTGGACCGGAATATCTAGCTCGGGCCTAAAAATATTTGGGCAAGCTCCTTTGGTTGCATGCACATCCGCTAGAATATCCGGACCGGGTAGGGAAAAAATCCGGGCGACCCCTCTATGTTTGGGTGTGACCAGGAGCTCCTTTGTCCAATTTTTTTAATGTGCTAACTCTCTCATAAAGTACCAAAACTTTTTAGCACTTAAGTTAGCGTTTCTCAACCATATTTTCAAGGTTTTTCTCAAACATCTCACCACGCCACTAAGCGTAATGTATATGCAAATGAGACTCACACTTAGTGGCACTAGATAACCATTGCAATTAAAAATTTTCTCTCTTTATAGTACGGTTATCTATCCTAAATACACTCACACCCTCTATGATGTCTTAAGTGCCAAAACAAAAACCTATTTGATACATTTGTCTTGACCATCTTGGTTTTTGTTTTTCCCTTTCTTCTTTACCAAGTTGAAGCACTTGATCTTCAAGTTTGGTCACCTCCATCATCATGACCATCATCTAACTCTAAGACTTGGTGTGTACCAACCTATCTTTGCATTTCACTCATGACAATGGTTAGTACACAGGTTTCATCAATTATCCAAAACCAAATTAGGGCTTTCACCGCATCCATCTCGTATTGTTCGAATCCACTCTCGAATCGCCACCATGCCTGCACCGCCGCGGCGTGCTCCGCCACGACCATGCTGCCGGTGGCCGAAACACGATGGCGTGCTGCACCGCGCCCGAGCGTCGTCGTCTGCCTTCCTATCTCCCCACTTCCACTCACCACTCGTCGTCGGGTTCTTCGAGCCGATGCAACGTGGTCCACGGCGACTGCTCCGGCGCGCTGTTCTTCACCGTGCTAGCCGCTTGCCTGCCGCCATCCTCCCTCTCCACTGCACCCAAGCGCCGTTTGCTGGCTACCGCAATTCTCCATCAGGTAAGCCATGGCTGACTGTGTTAAGTGTTTTTAGATGTTTCAGAAGTATGTTTTCAAGTGTTTCATCTGGATATTGCGTATGTTGTAATGGTTATATACGCATGTTGCACGTATATGTTTAAAGTGTTTCAGTTGTTTCATATGTATGTTTCAAGTGTTTTATCTGAATGTTGCATAACATATATGTTGCAAGCATATGTTTCAAGTGTTTCATGTGTTTTATACGTATGTTGCAAGGGTTTTATTTGTATGTTGCAAAAGTAGATTTGGGTGTTGCATGCGTTTGCAATGGCTTTCAAGTGTTTTCGGGTGTTTTGCAAGTGTTTCAGACATATGTTGCAAGTGTTTAAACTATTTTCAGACATATGTTGCAAGTGTTTTATCTGGATATTGCAAAAGGAGATATGGTGTTGCACATGTTGCAATGGGACCACCTGCCATAGTCGCCTGCTGTAGTTGCTGGGGCGTCGCCGGGCGGGCGCAGAATGTCCCCGCTTGCATGCGCGTGGAAAGCGTACGAGGCACGAGCAGCCTCCGCGTGTTGTAGGTCAGGTGGGCAGCGCGTGTGGTCCGGGTGGCGTGGGCCCCGAGTGGGCACACCGGTGTGTAGGCACGGGAAACGGGGTGCTGGTACTAGCGTCCGGACGTCCGGGCGCTAGCAATCCCCATTTAAAAATTCAAATGAGTATACATCTATATTTATATCTTATCTATACTTTATGTATAATATTAAAGAGTAAAAAACTTTTTCTTCTTCTATCACTCTACCTCTGTCCACATTACTCTTCCTTGTCTATAGTCCCCGGTCTCACATCCAATTATTCAGATATGGCAGAACACAGGGTCACTGTTTGCTTGCAGGAGGTTAATTGGATAAGGATCACGTTTAAGCCTGACCTTGAGAAGTTTAGCGTCGCCCGTCTTGATGATTACGCCATAGCCCTGATGAGCAAGAGAGCTGTTGATTTGGTAGGCATTTCTAGGACTAAACTTGTCACCACTATGAGTTCAGAAAGAGGTCTATGAAGACTTTTGAAAAAACATTAACATTTGCTGGCTTTTTTGATAAAGAAACATAGTGTACATTATAAGAAATTGTTCGACCGGGTGAATATTCAAGAGAAGTAATTTTAATTGGTTCTAATTCGCCACACTTGTGAACCATAGTCGACATTTTGTACATATTTTATGACCAGAAGTCTTTTTAGATACGACTGGAAAAACCATTTGTAGATGTGGCTATTTGGTTCGCCTCTACTTGCCTTATAAAGGTGTATAAATCGATCTCTAGAGGCTGCTGAAATCTAACATTCTTTAGATATCATTTTTTAATTTCTAAATTGAGCCAAAAAATATGAATTTCAAAATTATTAATTAATCTTATAATATAATTTTTGGGTCCAAAATGATTTCAAATAAAAAAGTAGTCAACTAAAAAGTTGTACTCCCTTCGTTCCAAATTATAAGTCACTTTGACTTTTTTGTTACATTCATTTTGTTATACATCTAGATATAATAATATGTCTAGATATATAGCAAAATAGATGAACTAAAAAAGTCAAAGTGACTTATAATTTGGTACGTAGGGAGTATATCTCTTCGAGTAATATAACTTTTGTTTAGGCTGTTTCTCCAATTTATTTTTTGAAATATTAGATTTCTAATTAAGAAAACTTGAAACAATTTTTTTTGGGGCTTAAATGATTTCAAATGGAAAAATCGACCACTACAAAGTTATAGATTTCTTCAAGTAATACAACTTTAATATAAAATTTTTCTTCATCTAACTTGCTTTGAAGAAAATTATAAATTTTATTGTGATGCACCTATTTTTAATTTATGGGTGGGTCAAATTGCAAACTATCTACAAAAAATCTATTTCTAAAGACAGTTGTAATTCCAAGCCGTCTCTAGACATGCCTCTAGTTCTAGAGGCGGCTGAAAAGGTTGGTTGTAGTGTGTGTTTAACGGCAATATGATTCAACGTTTCAAGGAAGAAGACGGGGAGCTTTGCTGCCCTTTCTATAGTCTTTTCCTTTTCCCACTTCTCTCTCTCTTTGCCTAGGTCCTAACTCTCCTCTATACTATTAATATAAATCTAGGCAAAACTCATGTCAGGTTTATGTTCAAAAGATTTAGTGTTTCAAGGGATTTTTCTACATTATTATGTCGTGTTATATCATCTTACAATAGGTTTTCGAACAAACGTCACTTTAACCTCACCAACCTAGAATGCATTCGTCCCATCAGAGTGGCTTCCACTCTTAGCGCCTGCCACAATGTTGGGAGAGAGAGAAGAGAGTCCAGACTTCTCATGGCCGTTCAAGGGAATGAGAAGGAGTTTCAATTGCAAAGGTGGTGAAGAGATGGATAGGAATCACTTTGACATTGGTTCGGAGGAGGTGATGGATCATGCTAGTAGTAGGAACAATAAAGATCATAAGAAGCAAGCACCTAGCCTCAAGAGGGTATCCTTCGCGACGCCTATTGCTCAGGTCATGGGGGAACATGCACCTACTATTGCTGATGATGGGCGTCTCATCCTGCCAGGTACTACCCCTCTTTTTAATGAAAGTATCTTCAGTTGTGATCCCATGCATGTTGTTCGAATCTCACCTCTACACAACTGTGCAAACTACCCAACATCCTACTCCGTTGCCTTCGTACCTTAATGCAAGCTCATGGTTAATGGAGATGCCAATACCATCTTATAAAGATTGGGAACCACCAACAGAGGCGTCGACAAAAATCCTAGAAGGTGGTACGACAACACTAGTGGGTGAAGATGAGGAAGCAATGCACCCAACATGTTCTGCAGTGGAACCAGTGTGCAACTTAAGGGAGGCTGTGGATGTTGCTGATGGCAAGGCATCATCGCTTGGGGCTAGTTTGGGAGGCTTACCACCTCTAGAGACTGGAATACCGAAGCTTGTTGTGGACCTAGGACACACTGATCTACATGATAATGGTTGGAAATCTATCAATGATCAAAATGCCACCTCTTCTAGACTACAGGAGCCGGCTATCCCTGAAGTTCCTTCCAAGGTTGTTGAGATTGAGTTGGATAACACTTTACCATAAGACCCAGCTGCGATAGCTAAGGAAATTACAATGGATGGAGTTTTAGCTTCAATTTCTAAATTTGTACCAACCCCTCTAATCCCACAACTACCAGTACCAATTCCTGAGGAAGAACCCAATGATCATGAAATGGGAAACACATCAGCCTCCTCAAACCCCACCACCACCAAGACCCTCATTCTTTACCCCACAATGTAAAAGCATTAGGTTAGCAAAGAAATCCAAAACCACACAAGGAAAAGGAGCAATTCAAGTTGCAGAGGAGTTGCATATCAAAAAGCTAGGAGACTTATCACCACCAGCAAAACAAGAGGAAGTTGACCAATTTGAATTTTTTGTGCGACATTTGGAGCATCCACTCACCAAGGTGAACATGGATGCCATCACGGTGCTAATTGAAGTGGGGCAACAAAAAAACAAGAAGAGGGGTGTGGGAGTATGACCCCCGGTACCCGCAAGGCTCCATGTGGGCCGAGCCACTAGGGGAGGCCCAGCCCATAAGACTATTGTTGGGTACCAGTATTAGGGATACCTGGAAGAAGGAAGCTGATGGCCGCAACACTAACTCGCTTGGATGTTCAAGAGCGTATTTTGGTCTCGCCCGACCCCGAAGGTATGGGCTTCGTCTCGTTCGACCCTGAGGGTGCGGGCTCTGTGTTGCCCAACCTCAAGGGTGCGGTCTCCATCACACCTGACCTCAAGGGCGTAGGCTTTGTCTTGCCCGATCCCAAGGGCACGTGCTCCGTCACGCCTGACCCCGAGGGTGAGGGCTCTATCACGCCTGACCCTGAGGATGCGGGCTTTATCTCGCCCGACCCCTCGGGCGTGGACTTCGCCTTGCTAGACCCCTTGAAGGGGGATTCCACCTCGTCCGACGAGGGTCCGTGCCCCCCGAACCACTACGGGGCTAAGAGTACGAACCTAGGGTCAAACTTCTGACATTAGAAAGCGAGTAGGCATGTCTTGACGTGACCCGAGGCCATGATGGGCCATACCTAGGACTCACATCGCCAATAGTGTTGGGCGTGCCAGTGCTATGCTACCTAATCCCCGTACGCTTTTCGATGAGGGTATCTACTAACCATGTCGCCCGCCAGGACGAAATGGAGTGCCACGACCGGTTGATGATGCCCACGTATAGTGCCATTGATGAACAGGGTCGCAATGTGGAGCCATCGCTATCATCATCTACAGGACCGGAGGGACCCACGTAAAGGAGATGAAGGGCACCGTGACCCCGAAGGCCTTCTTCCTCCTCGCTTTTCTCTCTCTCTCTCTCTCTTCTCTTGTGTAACATGTGCCTTCCCCTTCATCTATAAAAGGGGAAGCAAGATGCTCCATGAGGGGGACGCTGAATGGTGGAACAAGCTCAACGAGACTCAACTCCATTCGACCCTTTCACCAGAGACTTGGGACCTGCTCCCTCTCTCGCCCGTTTGTAACCCCTATTACAAACTAGTGTCGGTAACATGAGCAGCAGCAGACTAGACGTAGGGACATTCTGCTCGAACCAGTATAAATTCTTATGTCCTCCAAGCACACCATCCAGGCTAGACAAGCAAATCACAAATTTACTAGTCGATGATTCGAAACACCGATAGTTGGCATGCCAGGTAGGAGCCTTTTAGGTGTCTTGTCATCCACAACAGGCCATGAATGGCAAGCCACGGTGTCAGCTAGGTCCTAGGCGCGCACGTGCGCTTCAGCAGCCTAGATTTCTTCATCACCATGGAGGGAGAGCTAGCGTGGGCTCTTGCCCCCGTCCAACTTCTTCGCTCCACCGGCCTCGATGAATCGTTGAGGCCCTCGAAGAGCTACAGCTACATGTCCCAGAGGCCCATGCCCTCGGGAGCGACCGGCTCCTCGGCTTCGATTACGGGAGGCTGAAGCGCCATCTCGACACCTTCCTAGAACCCCGATTGTCCCGAGAGGACCTACACTGCCTCACCTTCTTGTTCGCCAACGTCATGATGTAGCTTGTTGGAGGGGAACCGATCTCCCCAAAATACCTCACCTGAAGCGCCCCAATAGCGTTCTGTTCGGTCTACGCAATGCCACAAGGACCATTGGTCACCTCGCGGCATAGCGCATGCACCCATCACCCATGGATGACGAATTCATGGATATGATGGACTATATCATGGAATCTTTCCACGACCTTCTGGCGGGAGATTCAGAGACGATATCTGACTCTAACTCCAGCTGGGGAAGCCATCACCCCTTGCAAAAATGCTTCATGGCAGGCACCCCTGAGGGACGCGTCGAAAGCTTCCATGAGGAAGGGGATACTCCTACGGATGACCCCAACGATGAGGTCGAGGGAGATGTAGGGGCCCCACCTCGCCTGTGGGTGGAGCAGCTGAGGGCATGGCACAAGGAGATCGAGGATGCATGACTCTAGCTGGAGTAGGAGCATGTGGAGCTCGAGTGCGAGATGAAACGTTGTGGAGACGGTGGCCGTGCGTGCGCCATCGCCCGCGATGTAAACCGAAGGATCATCGAGGACGACGGAGGCCTCCCGAACTTCACCTGGGCAAGCCAGAACATAGTTGCCATGGTGGCCTTGGTCTGAGGGCTCCCGAAGCCCGCGACACCCAAAGACCGTCGGGCCCATCGCGAGATCTGGACGTTGCTCGAGCACACGGCGGTGCAGCAGGCAGAAAGCTCGCTGTCTCGGTGATGCGAGCTCGATGCTAGTCAGTGCGTCTTTAGGACGACATGGCCAGGATGTATCCATCCACCAGGCACCACGCAATGGTGGGGGGCTTGCCATGGTCTCAATGCATGAGCGTCTCGGCCCTAACCACGACGCATGTAACACCCTAGACGCCCGTAGGCGTGGACGGGGGACAAGAGATAGGAGGCCGGCCACGATTACCACCCTCATCATGGCGAACGCTACAACAGCGGCGAGGACTGAAGCCCGAGTCCCGATCTGTCGGGGCCCTAGGCTTTCGGCCAGCACATCCTCAACGTGGCTTTCCGCCATGGTATTGACCACTGATCAACATCCCAAAATACTCTGGGGAAACGAACCTCGGCCTGTAGCTTGAGGATTAATTGCTTGCTTGTCAAGTTGGCGGTGCAGATAGTGATTACTTCATTATCCAAAACCTTTCCATGTTCCTAGCCGATTCGACCCGAACATGGCTAGAGCACCTTTCGCCCAACCGGATTCAAAGCTGGGTGGACTTGAAGGAGATCTTTGTGGGAAATTTCTAGGGCACCTACACGCACCCTGGGAACCCCTAGGATCTGAAGAATTGCCAACAGAAGTCTGGGGAAACTCTCCGCGAGTACATCCGATGTTTCTCCAAGCAATGCAACGAGTTGCCCGATGTCGCTGACGCCGACGTCATCAGAGCCTTCCAGTCCAGGACTACCTTCGAGTGCCTGGTCCACAAGCTGGGATGCAAGGGCCCTTGGACCACTAAGGAGCTCCTTGACATCATGACCAGCCATGCCTCAGGTGAGGAGGCGGTCGGAGTGATTTTCGACCTCCCCAAGGGCAAAGCAAAGCGGAACGAGGACGTCGGCGAGGGTGCCTCCAACCACCTGAACAAGAAGGAGAACAAGTAGCGACATGGGAGCTCGCTCATGGCCGCTACCAAGTGAAAAGGCGGCCGAGCGCCCACCGAGAGTGCTCTCGACCACTTCAAGAAGCTACTCGAGGGGCCGTGCCTTTACCACGCCTTCCCCGTCAAGAACATGTACAAGGACTGCACCCTCATGAAGCGTTTCTTGTCCGCCAGCTCCAAAAAGGGGGACTAGAGGAAGATGCCTGAGCCGGTGGTGGACAACGCCGAGGGGAAGGATGGCAGCTTTCTGACGCCAGATGGCTGCCTCATGATCTTCGGTGGGGTGGTGGCTTACAGCTCCAAGCACTGCCAAAAGCTTGCACATCATGAGGTCTACACGCCGAGCTTGCCACACCATCTTTCCTCCAGTGGTCGAAGTCCGCCATCACCTTTGACTAATCTAACCACCTAGAGAGTGTCCCACAGCTGGGAAGGTACCAGCTCATGGTTGACCCAATCATCAGCATGAAGCGGCTCACCAAGGTGCTGATGGATGGAGGCAGCGGCCTCAACATCATGTATGCCGAGACGCTTGATGACATGGGCATCGACCGGTCGCATTTCCACGGCGCCGTTCGACGAAAATAAGCCATACCGCTTGGGCAGATCGACCTACCCGTCACCTTCGAGGATCCAGCCAACTATAGGATGGAGACCCTCACCTTTGAGGTGGTCGGGTTCCACAGAACCTACCACGCCATCCTAGGATGACCATGCTACACGAAGTTCATGGCCGACCCCAACTACACTTACCTAAAACTAAAGATGCCAGGCCCACGTGGGGTCATCACCGTCGACACCTCCTTCCAACGCGCTTACGAGTGTGAAGTTGAGTGCAGTGAGCATGCCTCAATGATTATCGCCTCCGAGGAGCTCACGGTCATCAAGGAGGGGACCGTCGAGGAAGCACTCAACTCCAAGCGGTCGGCTGGACCTTTTGAGCCCACGGAGGGCATCAAGGAGGTCCTCATAGACCCAGTAGCTCTGAGGACAAAGTGGTGCGCATCGGCACCATGCTTTCCTCCAAATAGGAAAGCACACTCGATGACTTCCTCCGCACCAACAGAGATATCTTCGCATGGAAACCCTCAAACATGCCAGGCATTCCGAGGGAAGTCACCGAGCACGCCTTGAAGATCAGGCCAGGCTCCAAGCCGGTAAAGCAGCGTCTACGTCACTTCGACGAGGAGAAGAGCAGGGCCATCGATGCGGGGATCGTGAAGCTTTTGGCGGCCGGATTCATCAAGGAAGTGTATCATCCCAAGTGGTTAGCCAATCCTGTCCTTGTATGAAAAAAGAATGTTAAATGGAGAATGCGTGTTGACTACATGAGTCTCAACAAGGCGCGTCCAAAGGATTCGTTTCCTTTGCCATGTATAGATCAAGTAGTTGACTCGACCTCGGGGTGTGAAACACTCTGCT